TTTCTAGATTTTTTATGCAAGCGCGTTGAGCTCGGTTGTTCCTGCGATTCCCAGCCCCAACATGTGGAACGACGAGGATAACAACCCGTACGGCGCATTCGATAGCGAGGCACGTCTCTCGGAGTCGCTACACTCTGCAGCATTGTCACCTCGTAATACTTCCTTCCCACATAGTCTAATTTCGCAACTGACGCTTTCAGCTCTCTATGATCCCGAACACAGTCCGTCACCCTCGAGCCGATCGTCCAATCAGGATCCGCCCGATTACATTTCCCGACCGCAGGATCTGAGCGATGAGGATGATTCTGAAGGCTATGGCGCCCAGCAGACGAGTCACAGTTATCCCCGAAAGAGTCATTACGAAAGCCGTATAGAACAGATCCTCTACGAGAACCCGGACATGCCGATCCTCATCACGGACGCCGGGAAGAACCATGAGGGCGGCGGTAGTTTCATTGTATATACGATACGGACTGGAGTATGGGCCCGTTAAAGCGCATAGGGTAGAGGTGCTCACGAAATCTAGGATCTGGAAGTCCGACGACGATACTCCGAGTTCGCTTCCTTGCGACAGACACTGGTGAACCTTCATCCCACGCTCGTCATCCCCCCGATTCCAGAGAAGCATACAATGGCCGATTATGCTGCCAAGCCTACCAAAGCCAAGGAAGACTCCGCCATCATCGATTTGCGCAAACGGATGCTTGCCGTCTTCTTAAATAGGTGTCGCCGGATGAAGGAAGTTCGGGAAGATGGAGTCTGGTGGAGATTCCTTGATCCGAACGTTAGCTGGGTATGCTGATAGTATCTCAGTCATGCAGCTCGCACAAGCTCAAGCTGACTTCATTCTAGAGCGAGGTTCTTCATTCCCACCCTGCATCGTCCGTGCCAAAGAATAACCTGAAGGCCCCTCCCCTCGACCCCGCTAACCCTACGGCTGCTCACTCCTGGCTTCCGGTTCCCCCGAGCTCCGCAAAGCTTAAATCGGCACCGAGCGGTGCGACTTCTGGCACTACGGATGCCGCGGCCAGCGTACCTGGACCTGATGTGCTGGGCCGTTTCCCGCCTGAATCGAAGAAACTGAGTGAACAGGATCTGGATCCATACTTCATCAATTTCGAAGCCTCTACGCGGGAACTCGAGCTACTCCTTCAAGGTAACATCGAAAAGGTCAACCGTCGCACGCTGGCGCACCTGTCGTCCCTGTCTGCAGATCTCATGGAGTTGGGCGCGCGGTACAACGGTTTCTCTTTATCTGAACAGTCTCCGACCGTCGCTGCGGCTATCGAGCGCATCGGTCAAGCGGCTGATACGTCCTACATTGGGACCGAGGAGTTGTCGTCCTCGCTAAGCGCAAGTTTTGCAGAGCCCATGAGGGAGAGCGCCCAGTTCGCCAGTGTTGTCCGCAGCGTGTTACGGTACCGAGTTCTCAAACGTGTGCAAGAAGAGATGACACGAGATGAGCTGGCCAAGAAGAAAACCTTACTGGACTCTCTAGAGAGAAGCGAACTCGAAGCGAAACGTATCGAGCAGTATCTCAATCGCACCTCACCTCAATCTGCGCCGAACCGACCTCAACGTTCCTTGTCTGCCTCATCAGCAGCCAGTGGCGCTGGCAGTCGTGAGGGAGATGGGCGCTCTGCGGGTTCGGAAGACACTGCTTCTGCGGATTCTGATTTCCCACCTACCCATGGAGAGGCGATCAGCTCGCAGCCGCAGTCGTACCACACCTCTCCGCCTCGAAGACCTGAGTTGGGTCCATCCGCTCCTCCTGCTCACCGCAAAACGTCAAGCGGCACGTTTGTAGCGAACAAAATATTTGGTCGCATCAGTCATGCGATACATGGCTTTGCCGACGTGGACCCCGAACGCACGCGACGAGACCAGATTGGAAAGACTAAGGAGAGCTTGATACAGGTTAGTTGTCAATTTGACGCCTTGCATTGCTCAGCACTGATGCCCTTTCTCTACAGCTGGAACAAGCACTCGAGGTCTCCGAGAAGGATGTCAAGGACGCGAGTGCCGGAGTATTACAAGACTTGAAGCGGTTTCAGAAGGATAAGGAGGCCGATTTACGGCGATATATGGTAGGTTGTCCATTCGCATCGACAGGCGACCATGCTGATTGTTGATAGGTCGCATATGCTCGCTGTCACCTGGACTGGGCGCGAAAGAACCTGGAGACTTGGACAGAGGCCAAGGACGAGGTGGACAAGATTGTCGCTCGATAGTCTGCACATACCGGTGAATTGTTTCGCTTGATTCAAGAAGCCGCGGGGTCGTGACCCGAGGCGTTGGCGGTCGTGTCCAACTACATTGCCTTCATATACTGCAGCCTTAAATCAGCACAGTGTGATACCACTATAGTACACTTGAGACTATAGGCCATTTTCATTTTCGTCCAATAAATACCGCTCAACCTTTGGTTTCTGCCTTTGTCCAGAAAATCCTCCGAGCCGTCGGATGGGGAACAAACGGGATATCAAACAGGTCGTAAGAAGCAAGGAGTATCCCATTCTTGAGCATTGTCAATGCCGTCATTTGTTTCATGGAAGAAGGATGCAATATGTTTACAAGTACGTAGAGATGTTAGTGTCCTCACTGCTGTGCTCCCAGTGCTGTGGGGCGATAAAATCCGGCGGAATGCTTGACGACCTCAAGAACCTATCAGCGACCATAGTTCCTAGCACGAGGATTTAACCAGGGAGCCTAGAAAGGGTACTTTGTTAGTTAATAGTCCCAGTTGATCCATCATCACCGTGAGCAGGAATTATTGAGACTATATGGTTTACGTGATGACTTGACCTACCCTCTTTCTGCAGCTGAGACCACTAACTGTTGCTCGTACATCCACTGTTACCTTTTTTTCCCTTTTGCGCCCATTTTACTGCCAATTGTCTGTCCTTGCATCAACATCATTCAGGATCGACACTTTCCAAGGATCAGGAACATCAAGGTACCGCTGCCACTACGAATGGTCCTGGCTTGAGAGCATACCCCCTTGCTGTTGGTGGGTCGCTGATTGGTGCTATTGTCACCACTCATCGCTTGCTGTCATCATTGGCGACGTCTTTTACCCTCTGAACCACTCACTCAGTGCTCGTCACTTGGATCAGCCCCAACGGAGGGAGGTCTTTCATCACCGACTAGGAGTCTTTCCTGGCGATCCTGATCCGCAAGCCCTGCATATCAAGGACCAAACATCTGTCAGCCTCCCTAGATGGTTATGTACCACATTGCCCCGTAACAATTCCATCAGATGCTCCGCAATGATGAAATCCAGAGGCATACACTCCTGTCCGAGATGATTGCCAGGGCGTCCGGTTTCTCAGCATGGCTTCTGCCATCTTATACGCGGCCCGGAGGCCACCCTCCGTCATGGCTTGCACCAATTTGGCCATCAGCCGCTCGTCGTCGTATCATCAAAATGGGCGTGCTGGTAGCTCTCTTCTGCTTTGTTACATGGGCACTATGTACACGCATACCGCAGTATTATTCTACGCAGGGGACACAACAACTGCAACGGCCGGAACAGACACCGCACCCTCACCCGCAGCCTGAAGAGCTTTTCCCGCCCACGCATGCGACTGACTTGAAAATCCATGACCCGAGCATCATCCGTGTCGATGGCACGTACTACTCCTACAGTGTGGGCAAGCATATTTTCATCCACCAGGCACCCAGTCTCGACGGACCATGGAAACGCACCGGCACCGTTCTAGACGCGGACAGCGTGATCCCCAAGGGCGACCGGAAAGCCCCCTGGGCGCCGCAGACCATCCGCCACGGCGACACGTACTACTGCTTCTACGCCGTCAGTAACTCCGGATGCCGTGACAGCGCCATTGGCGTCGCTACATCCAAATCCCCCGGCCCTGGAGGCTGGACAGACCACGGGCTGCTCGTGCAGTCCGGGACAGGGAGAGGATCGGATGAACACCCGTTTACTAGCTCCAATACCATCGACCCGAGTGTGTTCGCCGGAGAGGACGGTCACGGATACCTGATGTTCGGGAGCTTCTGGTCGGGTATCTGGCAGGTACCGCTAGAAGAAACCCTGCTTTCAGTGGCGGGCGATACGAGATCCGAGGCACGACAGCTGGTGTATATGGAGAAGGCGCCGCTGCCGGCGAGCAAGCACCCCAACCCGCTGTGCCGGGAGCCGTCCGGTGCCCGTCCCATTGAGGGAAGTTTCCTCTCGTACCATGAGCCCTGGTATTATCTGTGGTTCAGTTATGGGAAGTGCTGCAAGTTCGATACGAAGAATCTACCACCTCCAGGAAGAGAGTAAGTGTTCTCTCTGCAGAGCCGGCAATGCTGTTCCTGACATCGGCAACAGATATAATATCCGAGTTGGTCGATCCAAGAGCCCCCGGGGTCCGTTCGTCGATAAGCAAGGCGAGGACCTAGCCAACGGCGGCGGGGAGATCGTGTATGCCTCCAATGGCGACGTTTACGCACCAGGGGGGCAGGGAGTGTTGACAGAAAAGAGCGGTGACATACTGTATTATCATTACTGTAGGTACCTTCGTACAGAGATCGAGATAGTTGCTGACCTTACAGTGAATAAATCAATAAGCTATGACTTTTGGGTAAGGAGGTTTTCCATAATTCGAAGAGTCAATACCTAATTAGTCGCAGGAAGCTCGACTGGGATATAATCCCTTGAAATACGTGGACGGCTGGCCTGTCCCCCAGTAGATGCGATGATCAATTCAGGGTAGACTAGAGGATATACATAGATACGGCCTAGATTAGATACAAATAATAGCATAGTCTCCAATAGAGTAACGGCTTCAAGATACATAATTAAAGAGCAAGACAAACGCCATCCGGTCTAAGATATATACACCACATCTATACACTCAACCCTGGTCGCCCAGTCTATTTCTACCGACACAAAGCGCAAACGTCACCCAATGAACGCCGGCATCTATCACCCACAACATACCAATCTAAGCCATCATCAAACACATCAACGCCCTCTTCTCTACCACCGTCTATTCCCGACCTAACAGAACCAACCCCTCACAACCTCTCCCCTTCACCCCCTTCTCCGCATCCAACTCCCGTCCCCGACCCTTACCACTATTCCCCTTCGTCGTCCTCAACGGCGACAACAAAGGCGACGAAATAACCCTCACAGCAACAGCAGCACTCTCGTCAAGCGAACCCTGCCTCTCAGGCACAGTCAACGACGTCCCCTGTCCCCATTTCGCCTCTTCCCCTCGACAATCCCGCTGAGCATGCTTTTCCTCGCGCAGACGCAGCGGGCCCCCGTCCCCCTCAACCTCAAACTCAAGACTAGGACCGAGATCCAGGACACTGATCTCGCTATCGCTGAGGAGGAGGCTTCTCCGTCGGGAAGGGTACTGCTGGGTGTCTAGTGCGTTATTGGTGTTTCTGTTCTCGGTGTAGGCTGTCACTGCGCCGTTTGTATTGTTGTTTGTGGTGTGGAGGCGGATGGTCGGGTGAGGACGAGGATGAGGTGTCGAGTCTTCGTGTGGTGCCGCTGCTCTTGGTTCTTGGGACATTTTTTGCAACGTACTCGGAAGTAGTGGATGAGGTACTGATTGACTGAGGGCGTTATAAGGGGAGAAAATGCGAGGAAGAAGCGCAGGTGGGTGTTGGAGGCTTAACCAGTAGAAGGATGGCCAGGGTGCAGATGAGCAATAAGCATACGACTATGGGTAATTCTTGATCGTCCATGCGGTAGCAGTGCTTATTGTTTCAGGAGGAAAGAAGGACATTTTGGTTTGTCTGGGGAGTGGGTTGTAATGGAAGGAACAGGTGAGGTATATATATATAGTGGGAGGTATCAGATGATAGATAAATCACGTCTTTCATCCGAATCTCACTTCATGTGCATAATCAAAGAGGCTATGACGTTTTATGATTTCTTTGAGTTGGAAATAAATCTCAGAATAGAGATGTGACAAGTCGTGATAATGGTGAGGCTCTGAGCAGGTGACAGCTTCATCGGTCTCTGCTCGGTCATCTGATGGTCACTCGAGACATTGTCACTTCCCAGGTCTTACTTATGAACAGTTACTGTACCGCTGATTCCAGATGTTCTACCGTTTCCCAGAATATGAAAATATGATAAAGAAAAAAAAGGAAAACCCTTTATGATGCAAAGCGGGAGGAGAAATCCTCTACCGTCTGAGACAGACATAACAATGCTTTTGAACACGGTGCTCACCAGACGCACCTTCATGACTCTTCGTAGACACAATGTAAATGCATGGATGGCTTGTATGGGCCACCCGAGGAAGTATTAGATCTAACACAGTGCCCTTCAACACCCACTTCCAAACAATAATTATGTATAAACATCACGAATGGCCGACGGAGAAAAAGCGATGCAGATATCGCTCCTCACCAGACAAGAGAAAGATACTGGTTGTCGACTTCATCGTAGTAGTCATCACACATGCAACAGCCGTATTTCTTTTGCGGTGATCGCCTCTGTAGTTGACCAAGCCGGCTTTCGCTCAGTCGGAGACGATCCGGTCATCATCATTCACCCGTAGCTCCACCACGGGTAAGTCTTCATCGTCATCACCGTCTAGTGGCGGAGGGATATCCTGAATCGGAGCTTCCTCCTCCATGGGTGTGCCTGGGAACACTCCCTGGCCGATTGGGCTTCCGGTCAATGCGGCGAGGCGCAAGTCGGAGTCGCTGAGATCTCCCCCGCCCACCGCTTTGTTGCTGGCATCGTCGTCGAACAAATCCTCGTCATCAGAGATCGATCCCGGAGGTACTGTGGTCATCTGTGAAAGGCCATGAGCATCTGTGACTCGGTCGAAGGACCACGTGGGTTGGCTTGAGTAGGGGAGCGGGTTGGCATAGGCTCCATCGCCGAACTCGTCTTCATCAAAGCTCATACCTTCCAGTCGGTTTGCTTTCGCAAGGCTCTGCTCGCCAGCGGCTGGGCTGTCCGAATAGTCAGGGGGCGATTCATCATCGTCGTCATCACTGTTCTCATTCCTCGCCCGGATTCCAGTTCGCAAACCACCATCTCCCGCTTGGTGAGCTGCTCCGACTCCGGCCAAGGCGCTCGACGACCCATTGCGGGAGGAGCCGCCGAGACGCCGCCCGTTCCCGAAGGCGACTGCCCACGGGACCCAGCCGGGGAGTTGTCCTCGCTGCCTGGTCGAGTTGACGACTCGGTGATTTCTTCCAAGATCTTCCCGCCCAGTGGGCGGTCTGAACGTCGACGGTAAAACAGTAAATACGCGGCGGGAGTCACCACACTCTGGGGATCAATTGGTCGCGAGACAGACGAATCTACCAGTTCCCGTCAGTAAACACGGTTATCCTTGAAGGAACGCGGCCACAGAAAGCTCTTACCATTGTACTCGTTCCATTCGCCACTCATAAAGTTCTTCGCGTAGGCCGTATAGTGACCGCCTCCTAATCCACCGTAGTGGTTATCAACCGCGAAAAGATCATAGATTAGGCTCTTTCCCTCTTCCGGCGATTCGACACGGTCGCTCATGTCTAGCCCTTCAACGGGGAAGTCGACCAGGACATCCAGCTTGTCCCTAAAACCCCTGCTGGCGCTGAATCTCTTCAGGTGCATGACAAGGATGTCGGGAGTCTTCCACAATTCGAACTTCTTGCTGGCTCTGCGATGCTCCTTGCAGCGGGGCAGTACCATGCATCATTCTCGGAAAGAATCTCCTCTTTGTTGAACTCGTCAAGACATTCGTAGAGTGTAACGCCCCTCTTCTTCCGGCTCCGGCGAAGATCACGGCGCTTGGCGAGTTCCGGATCAGGAATGCGCTCCACGTTGGTCCATGTAGGAGTTCCACGTAGCCCGTCAGTGTCCTTCTTATCCCACCAAATAGGGCATCGTGGGCTTGATCGTTCCAATCCAGCACGATACCTTCCCCCGGGCGGATCAGAGGACGCTCGTTGGCTTGAGTCTTTACGGCCTTAGGGCGACTGATGTTAGAGAACATGTCAGAGTCACTGTCAGAAGCAGTGCCGGCGCTTCCATCCTGATCCGAGTCATCACTGGTTTTTCGGTCGGTCACTGTACCGGATGTTGTCTGCGAATTTTACACCGTTGTCAGTCTGCCTGTCTTCTTTGATAAGTATATTTTGCGGCTGCTTACCTTCTTCTGTTTGCCAGCCGACTGTGCCTTGACCCTGGACGACATCAATGGATAGTCTTTGATATCGTCCACTGAAGACCAGCCGAGAGGCACAACCTCGTGGGATGATTTGATAATCTTCATATCGAAGAGGCTCCGAAGGCCAGGTGCAATAGAGCTGCCAGGGGTCGAGACAGCATTTTCACACTTGCTGTCTTGAGGAGATGGAGTATCCGTCTCGTCCGAAGCGTCGCGCATGGAAACGTCCACCAAGCCATCTTCACCGTCCACGGATGAGGTCTTGATTTTAGAATCTGCAGATTGCGCGTCGTCTTCATTCATCACAACGGTATCCGAATCCTCCTGAGTCCCCCCTGGCTCGTCAGCTTTCTTGATGTTCTCCTCATTGAGAATGTCTCGCGTTGTCAATGTAGCAACAGCTTCAAGAACTTTGCGGAGGACGGCATCGTAGTTTTGAGCCTCTTCTCTGCTGATGATTACATACAAAGGAGCGCCGAAGAGTGACCGCTGCATATTCCCGCTGTTATTCGACTTTGGCCGGCAATGCCGATTGAAGATGGGCACTAGCATTCGGTCGGCCTTGGGTGAGTCAAAGCTTGGAATTTCTTCATAGTCTGAACGACCATAAGAAAAGTAACTCTTCTGGCGCTTGTCGGGATTATAGTTGGTGGGAACAGACGCAACCTCGAAGATTGCGATGTCATCGCCTTGGCCGATCTGGCAATCGGCAATGGACGCAGAGTTGTCGAACATCTTGTAGAACTTGCACTTGTAAATTTCGGCCATGACGAGACGCTGAGGGTCCGAGCCCATCTTCTTGGCTACTGACTCCTTGAGCGCCTTGATGCTGGCGTTTTTATCAATTTCCACGTCAACGATGACAGGCTTGCGGTGGAGAGGGAAAAAGAATATCTCCTTGCTCCAAAGATTTTCGATCGGAAGCTGAAGCGTCAGGTTGTTGAACGGATCAAAGATGATGCTGACCTTCTCGCAGACAGGACAGACAAGAGTTGACTTGTACATGCCGGCAAAGAGATCCGTGATGACCGAGTCATTGCGGGCTTTGTAAATTTCCCAGCATTTATTGGCAAACTCTTTGAGAGCCTCCTTGTCATGGACCATGTCGTCCGTGGAGTCTGGCTTCTCGATATATGGCTTCTTCTGGATTCTGTTCAAATCTTCTTGCAGCCCATCCAGCAGGAACAGCAGAAATTCCTGCGAATCCTGTTGCCCGTATCCCGAGAATGCTGGACCATAACGACCAATGGTGTGTTTAAACTGGCGGGGAGCGAACGACGACTGACCGGCTTCGTCGTAGAGCATGCGAAGAAGGTTTGCGTACGCCTTGGCTATATCGCCGTTATGGGCGAGAGGATTACTGGGGTTGAGATCTCTCTTATACACATCGTCTACCGAAATTGGTTAGTGAGACAATAGCCACGGGCCAAAGGGAAAAGGTGAGAGTCCGTACTCAGGAAGTAGTATGTGAGTTCCTCCACACTGCGCACGCACTGTAGAGCAGAGTTCATGTAGCAGGTATTTCCGAGGTTGCTCAATCCCGTGCAGCCCCTGGGCTTTCCGTCTTTACGCCGGCCCCTAATAGGTTCTGGAGCGGGAGACGATCTACCACTGTTGGTAGGACTCTTGTTCTTGAGCTTGCCAGGAACGCCATTCTTCACACTGCCACTCGGAACACCTAGTCGATCGAGCATCTTCTTGGATACTTCTGAAGCCCACTCTCCGCCAACGCGCTCCTCAAGCACCACAACATCACTGGTAGACAAGCCAACTCGATCCAAGGTAGATCGACCGTTGAAATTGGGATTGTTGGTTTGATCCTTGACGTTATCGACCAGTTCTCGCTGGGCGCCGTCAGATAACGAGAGGAACGTATTGAGATCAAGCACAAGGTTGTTGCCGGCATTGGCAACCAGGGAGGCCGTAGGTGCCGGAGAAGCGCTCCGTGACGCAGCGGGTGTGATTGCAGCCGATGCCGTGGCACTTCCCAGTCCCCCGAGAATCCTCCATACACGAACTTTGGTAGACATGTCAATATTGGCCAGTCCCTTCACTTGCTTCAGCCACTTTTGAAAGTTGGTGTGTCGGCTGGACAAGACCTTTGCAGGTGGCATATTCTTCTCTCTTAGGCTCTGTGGAGTGGTCCCCGCGGCCGGATTTGCTAGCTTCAGAACGGTGAAAATTGGTGGATGGAGCTCGTATTGAATATTTTGAGCATCACCTTCCTCCACGGTGTTGTGAGCATAGCGAACAATGGCTGGCGATTGACTAGCCAAGCCGTACCATCGCATGATCAGGTCCCAGCCTTCCTGGGGCACTATCTCAAAGTCCTCTCCCATCTGCAGACCTGGACGCAGGGGCACAAAGGGCTCTCCTGCCTCATCATGGAAGCCGGTAATTGCCGGGTCAGTGACCAGCACAAGGTCCGAGTTATCCACGGGTCCAATTTCTCCTTCAGCTGCCGACTTATCTGCCTTGTCGGCGTGGGTCGAGCTGCGAGCGAGCACCCGCTTCAGCCATGACATGGACACCAGATATCCCTTCTGTTTCTCCTTCAACGGCTGGGCCATGGTGCAGGTCACTTGAGCGACTTGGTCGTCGATAGGAGGGAGATCGTGGGACGACATGGAGGCTTGGGCCTTGGATTCCTTTCGGGTCGCCGTGGGGGCGGTAAATGTCGACATGCTGGATGGTGTGGGATAGACGTTGTCTGACCCAGAGTTATCACCGTTGCCGTTCGAGTTCCCCTCCGCTGTAGTCGTATCCATCGCGTCTGTGTGCTGGGACAGAGAAACAGATCTCTTCTCTGTCGAACCTAGATCCATCTCCACATCCTGGTCGGCGTTAGGAGCCGACCGTTTGATGCCCGGGGAGGATGACCGAACGTCACCTCCAGTAGGCGGAACGCTGCCATCTCTTTTGTCGGAACCAGACATATCCGTCATAGCGTCGCTGTGTAGGGTGAGTCCTGCGCAGGCGATCGAAGGATAGTCGGCGGCACTACTGGCGGATTCCGGGGTCGGGGAGCGGGCGGCGGTGCCAAGCACCTCTTCCTGCAAATGGGCGGGAATGTAGCGAGGAGACGGGGACACAGAATGGCTTCGACTTCGATTCGACGGGGACGTGGACGATGGGCGAGGATTCGGTGGCACGGAAGACGAGTCGGAAGGGGGGTGCTGACTGTGACGTCTTCCAGCCTGCGAGGCAAACGACAAACCCGGAAGGGCTCCTCCTGGTCTGCGAGGCTCTGCAACCTTACGGCGCTTTGTGGAAGACGTCGTGACGGTGAGCTGCGCACGTCTCGTGGCAGCTCTGGGTAACACGATAAATGGTCGATTGAAAAGACAGGCCAGTAGCTGAAGATTTGATGATAATGACCTAACTGGAATTTTAAAAATAAACCAGCATATAAAAACGAGTCTATAAAAAATTAATAAGAGTAAGAAAACCTGCCAAGTGAGGGGAGGAAAAGAAATGAATCGAAAAGAAAATCCGACGACCGTCCAGGCGGGAGTCGTCGTTTAGTCAGTCCGTCCCGGTCGCCAGTCACTTGCTGAGTGGTTGAGGCGAAAAAAAAGGCACTGTGGGGATTGAAGCTAAAAGGCGGAGTCTGGATAGGGTTGAGTCTGATCCACTCCCGACCTTATCGGCAAGTTTGCTTGAATCTTTTTGCTTCTGTGTCGAGATATTGATGAAGTTAGGAGAGAGTGGGTGGTGAAGTTGATTCGTCTTGCGAGCAAACCAGGGAGGAAAGAAAGAGGCAGAACAGGAGATGGCTGCAGATGAGAGGTATTATCTCACCGTGCTCATCTTGGAGTCTCTGGCTGCCTCTGTTGTGTTCTTCAGATGATGCAGAATAAGAGGAGGAATAACAATAGAAGAAACAGATGAAGATTGATTCATGATCATGATGATGGTCTCTATTGTGCCAGCCATTGACTGACTCGGAGTGTTGACCGTCAACACCACTCATATTGATAGTTTTCTACTATAGAAGACGACGAAAGAAAGGACAGTCATGATATTGGACTAACTTGAGAAGTTAAGCCCGTATCTCTTGATATTGTCATTGCATTGTCTTGTGGGAAGACACAATCTCGAGTCTAATTCAATATCTTCTGCTGCGGTCAAAGTAGTCGAGTCACCAAGGTACTAATAATCCGAGTTACAGCTGGCTCCCTTTCAATCTGCCTCCACCTTTCTTTCCACTTCTTCAATCATCTTCACTCCTTGGTATAGAAGCGATAAAGGTCATTCCCAGGCAAAATATATACCACATCAGCACGACTCCCAAACTCTGCGTTTGCCTGGTCGTTTTCGGCAACCACTTTGGCTAGATTCCCACGGTAGGCCCGCATCAACAACTCGCACCGTTCGCAAAGCAACAAGCCGCATCCTCGCGCATGGGGTGAGGTTGGTTTGACGGGCTCCTGGTACTTGTTCACAAGCTGAAGAGTGCTGCAACCGAAAAATGCTGGATTCGGGCAGAGAGAACACCACGGGTTGATCCGCTTCGGGGGCTGTCCTGGTGTCGGGATCAAGCTGTTGTAGGCAGCGTCGAAGTCGAAGGTGTCTACTTTGTACCCCTTAAGAGGGACAATGTAGTGACGTGAGCAATTCACGATGTGAATTCTCTCCAATGCACAGGTGACGCACATTCGACTGGGCTCATGACCATCTTTGACATGTCCTCCATTTATCTCGATATACCTGCCATCACCGAAATCGATGACTTCCACGGCCCTTCTGCCCAGTCCCATGATGCCATAAACGAAATTGGTACACCAGTGACAAGGGTTCGTGCCGTCTGGTGGTGGCTCATAGGCGAAGTCCACAGGATGGGCCAAGAAAGTGTGGATAATCCGGGAGTTGCGATTCTTTAGGGCTGGCGTAAGGGCGACCGGGTCATCGGGCTCGTCGTTCGCCGGGAGAGGGGGAATTGTGTCCCAGATGGACTTAGAGTCACCAGGGACTGCACAACTCTCGCGTTTCTCTTTCTTCGTCCTTGGCTCCAGCGGCGGTTTGCCCTTTGCTGGGCCGGCGATACAAGGAATTCCCATTGCTTGACATTGCTCACAAGATACACTGTGGTCGGTTTCGCCCTGGCTGTAGGAGCATGTCTTTCCTGAGCGTCTGCATCTCTCGCACGCTCTTTTCCACACCGGAGGGATGATCAGCTCGCAGTCAATGTTATTGTCCTTGCAGGTCTGGCAAGGATATGCAAACTGATCATCGAGGAGTGAACACTCTTGGTGGATCTTGCGACACGCCCAACAGCCCTTGGCTGCTGTTTCATCCAGATCTACAAGCCGGTCGTTGCCCTCTTGCGGGCTTTCTCGCTTCCGGAGCGAGTACCGCGAGTTCGACGATGATTCTTCTGTGCTGTCGGCTATGTTGAAGTACTGCATCAACTGCTCGTTATCTTCAGGCCGTATGTCTTCCTCAGACATGGGAAGAGCAGCAAGGAACGCTCTTCCAGTGATTGATTTCAAGGCCATGGTGACAATCAATTGTTGCAAGCTTCGAGATGGTTTTTTCGGTCGATTTGATTCTTCTGTGCGGGATGCTCGCTTTCGCTTAGTATCCGACGTTTCGTGCTCTGGGCTATAGTCGCTATCACTGTCGTCGTCAAGCCAGCATGATGGGATGGTCTGTATGCCCTCCAAGTGCCGCCTTCGTAAAGAGTACTTGCATTCGTCAGCAAGGGTGCTAATCAATCTGGCGCTTGGGCTCCGAAAAAGCTCAATAGCTTGTTCTAGTCTTTGCAGTGTATAGGCCATGATAAAGTGGGCTCCAGATATTGGGTGTGTATGGGGAGGAACTGCTCAATGGGGGGCTCAAGCATAGGATGCACAAGATCAAGATGTGCTACATTGACTTGAGTATGAGAGGCCTCCAGTCATGAATAGCGGAGTGCGAAATGGAGCAGTGGACGTAGTATAAGGTCTTCCCAAAAATAGCATACCGGACGGCCTTTCTAGTTATGTACTGATCCAAATCACCAAACTCCCATCAAGCTGAGATTCAGCTAATGTGAGTGTAAATGGAAATGCGGGTAAGAGGATATAGACTGAAACAATGAAGAGTCCGTAACATGATAGATAGGTATGTGCAGTAACACAGTTCCCCAGTTGAGATGCTCTACTGAGAGGAGCGAATTTGTCGAGTTGGTCTCAGATGAAGTGAATGCAAAATGGAGTGATATGAACCCATCAGAGTGGAGTAACCAAGCTCCTGACCTTGAAATGCTTCAGAAGTGTCAGACACCTCATTATCTTGATCAAAAGTGAAAGGACCTCCACTATACTGTATACCCTGCTGTGACACGACCACATCCAACTGTGAAATGATACTCGAGTGTCACAATCTGATGTTTTCTTCTCGACCTGATATCGTGCTTTGTACTAGCAACTGCAATCTATGTAAACTTGCAGAGCATCTTTGGATCGTAAGATGAGAAATGAGAAGTGAGGTTTCACATACTGATTTCAATTCAACCTCAGGCCCTTGAACCCGAGGTTCAACCTTGAATCAGGACAGGCGGATGGCAGACAAACCCCGCCGCAAGCATCAACAGCATCGCAGTTACGCTAATCGTTCTAGAACCACAGTTTGTATACTTTTTGCAGGTGCAGCAAAGGAACCGTATGCATCGTCACTGCTCACCTCTCGAGTGCTTGGTTCCTTTGAGGCGGCTGAGGGATCTATTCCAGCTCTAAATCTGGGTAAGTGTATGCAGGAGGCTGGTCCTCGATATCTCATGATCGGGTTGCATTTTGCGTTGTCTTGAGCGTAGGTAGAGTGCAGAAGCTCAAGGTATATATACGTATATTGAACTGATAGTGTTGGAAGGAAGGTCGGGAGAATGCATGGAAGTGTAAACGACAGGGAGTAAACACACATCTTACAAGATATGGCGGTAGGTTGACATAGATCACCTTGATCAATAAGGTAGCTACCTGGGATAGCTAATGCATCACTTTCTTCTGGTTTCTTTATAGCGTAGGTTCCTGGATCCCAGCATTATTCACTAAAAGCTGCAACAACCAAAGCAAGTGGTTGTGCTCAGTAGCAAAGTACAGCAACCATAGCCATTCAATCAACTACCACAGCCATCCAGAACCATTAAAGTGTCCAGGTTCCCTCAACCATCATCAAAAATGATACAAAATATGGTAATCATGGCAAAGAACGAGAAAAATAGAATTGCTAGAAACAGATCCAGACATATTCTGCAGAGATCGTTCTTCGTAAAGCGCAAGCCGCAACAATAAAGAGGGTCCAGGATGCAGCAGCAATACCGCGTCTGCTGCTGGTAAAGGGTGCTAGTATCTCCTGGCCTACTATCCTCCCGAGGCTGTCCCAGTTCTAGGTCTGGATAAGGAGGCAGTTGTCCATTTGAAGACATTTTGCTAGGTCTTGAGATCGGAGTCAGACGGAGCAAAGAGGTTCTGAGTGACTGCAATAGATGGATGATCGTTGCTGATAGCTGTTGTTGAGAAAGACAGTAGAAGCCGAATGCACCGGAGACATGCAGCTGAATAGGGCTAGGGAGTATTCTGTATATGGTGGTGGTCATGTTGACATACGGATGCCTAGATAAGGTAGCTAAGGCGCTGCATACTTTAATCAAACATGTAAAGTCAAGACTACAAGATGGGTCATATCTACCCTGAAACTGGTTGTCCGAGATCTATTTAGAGCCTTGAGCAAGTGCGACTACCTTATGGACGGGAAACATCCCAAAAGGGAGCGGACCAAGAGAGGGACATCATATACATCTCTCCTTCCTTAGTTATCTGTGCCCAAATCCATGGAACTACAGCAATGCAAACCAGCAAATACTATAGCCCAAGGCTGTCGAAGCCTCAGGATACCCTATTGTACCTGGTCGTTAATTAAATATCCATGACGGTATGGCGTCCACATCAGTAGCCGAATGAGAGGTCGTCCATGTTGGATCCTGGGGTATGCAGGACGGGAAGGTCAATGAGGTTTACATATATTGGAGTCACATTTCTTTCATTGTCGTTGTTCTTGTAGGATAGGAGAAACACGAACTTATATTATCTTACTCTTTCAATGAGAGTCAGCAAGCCTAGCCCTTAAATCACCCTTTGAAGGGCACCAAGCACCCTACACTCCCAGGCTTAAACATTCAGCATGAACATCCAGAAAAGCAAGTAGGTCAGCCTGACCCAGGACACCAAAACTCTCAGCAAGTAAATGCGACGTTGAACATCGTCCCTTTCAACCTGACGCTCACAACCCTTCCCCTGAGAGCAATCTCCTTGCTGCATAAATGCCCCTAGAAATTATAAATATTGTCAACATAAGCACACCTACGATCACCGTAACGATTATAGCCAGTCTTAAGAGAGCGACCGACGCCTCTGCCATCTCATTTGAAAATAGCTGTCATATTCCACTCCTTCCTGGCTAGGCCCGGGCCGCGAAACCATCCTGCAGCGGTTGCGTCCACTTTCTTGTAGGCAGAGGAGCCGGGCCGGCTTCAAGGTCAGAGGAGGAAACATGACTGTAAGACTGTTGGTTCGAGCGATCGTATATGCCTCGATACGGTGGTTCTCTGACGTGCAAGTCATCTGAGCTGGGATAAGACGGCGCTTGGTTGGTCATGTTTGAGTATCAGGAGGAATGAGGGTATCGATGATAGAAACGGCCAAATGATTTTATCAGAGAAGAATGAATAAGAAATAAATCAAGTCAAGGGAGGCATTTGTGAGTTGTCAAGGGCGGGTAAGATATCGTTGTGTTGTAGTTGTTTCGAGAATATGGTTGATCTAATAGAACGACTTTGCCGGGGAACCTAACCACCTTCCTTGGTAGACAAGCAATGTAATTTGTGAGAATCTGTTTCATTTACTGCCATTAAGATACATGGTGGACATTCCATAGTCCTGCTTGCGAATGAAACCAAACGCCATATGCTCTGAGCCCTAAAAGATTCAGCCCTAAAAGGTAGGCAAAAGAAAGAACACCAGCCCAGGGGTATTAACAAGTAATAAAAGAAGTAAACAGAAAGGAGCATTTCAGGTCTGGAAACTGTACATGCGCACTTCGCAATCTTCGCTGCCTGTAGCGAAGCGGCTGTCGCCCAGACCGATGCAGGTCACTGGCCCTGAATGTCCTGTAAATGTGCGCTCGCATTTGCCGGTCCTGGGATCCCAGATTTTGACCATGCGATCCTCAGCCCCCGAGACGATACGGAGGGTGTCAGCCGCTAAAGCCCACACTCCTTCCAGATGACCAAAGAATGTACGCAAGCACCTTCCGGACGAGGTCTCCCACAGCCTAATGGTCGAGTCAAGAGCGCTGGTTACTATGTAACGTGGTGGTGAAGGACGTCCGTCGTCGAAAGCTGGGCCAAAAGCAGAAGACGGAGTGTCTGAGGGCTGAGCATCAAATCCAGGGATAGCCTGCGGAGAAGCAGCCGGACTGTCGCCGGAGGTGACGCTAACGTTATCATTCTCGCATTCGACATCATGATCTTCGAATTCAAATTCCCTGGGAAGTGGAACCACCTGCTGCACTTGACCAACATGCCCGTGAAATGTTCTGATGCAGGACTTTGTATCCAGATCCCAGAGTTTGACCGTGCAGTCGTCTGAGGCAGAAAATACTGTTCGAGAGGCCGAGTCCACTCTGACCGCATTGACCCAGTCGGTGTGCCCACGCAAAAGACAAGTTGACTTATCCTCAAAATTCCAGATCTTCACGGTCTTGTCTACAGACCCAGATGCAAGGATAGTCGCGTCGAAATGCAGGCCGATTACACCACCACGGTGGCCGGAGTAGGTAGATATGCATTCGCCTGTCCGCCAATTCCACACCTTGAGAGTATGATCCATGCTGCCACTAATCAGTTTCGTGTCGTCGAATTGAAGACAGCGAATGCCGGACCGGTGTCCCTTGAGGGTGCGAAGCTCCTCGCCTGTTTCCGTGTCCCAAATTTTGATGGTAGCATCATAGGACCCAGTAGCCAGGATATTGTCCTCAAATTGCAAACACATGATGCCGTTACTGTGTCCCTTGAACACTCTGATCGAGCAGCGCCCATATTTCCAGTTTGTGCCCACTTTGAAGCGATCCTTGTACACTTCCTTCCACGGCCTGTATCGTTTCTTAAAGTAGTCCTCATTTTGCTCTGATTGAGAAACAATGGACGTGCACTGACGTTTTACCATGGCCGTGTCTTCATCATCCGATTCAGGTTTTCGCTTGGATCCGGACGCTGCGGTGTCGGTAGTAGCCGAATTGTTTTCGGTCTCCGCTGGCTGCTCGCTGATATCCCATGTAGCTGCACGGCGTTCGATTTCGCGCTTAGATTCACGCAACCTTTTACGATCGAGAAGAGGAAGGCCCCAACCACATTTCTTGCACTTGCGATGAATATGCTGTTCACACATTCGGTGCCAAACTACATCATCGTCGGCCAACGCTCTCCAACGTCTAGAGACCTGCGCGGCTTTGCAGAGAGAGGTCGTGTCCAAGTAACATAAAATTTTGAAGGAGATTTCTGGAGGGAGAGCCGTGAGGAAGTCGATGCGAATCAAATCGCGGACTGTTGCTGAGATGAAAGACAGTTGGGGAAAGCAACACTGAGCCATTATTCCCTGCAGGAGAAGTTTTCGGTGCTTCGCCGGGGCGGCAGAAAAAATCGACCAAGCATGCGCGATGCCTTGCTGATCACTCTGTGGTAGTGTTTCTAATTCCTTTGCAAACTGTCAGCGTGAGAACTAAGACACTTGAAAAGGATGGTGCACTTGGATGCGGGAAGAAAAAGCTTACCCGTTGTAACTTGTCCATTGTTGGTTCATCAGCCTGTCGCCTGCACTTTAAATCTGGGCGGTGACGATAACAGAATTTGGAATTCGCACTGCTGATTTCTACCGGCTGTCCAGTTTGCGAACCAAGAGGAGCGTATTGTTCGGGGATATGCTTGGCCAGAAAGGGTGCGACGTTCTTGCCAGCCAGCTTTTCACGTAAAGGTTTTTGGGTGTTGAAACTGTGGGGCTTGTCTTGTGTAGATTCGGGTTCCGTTTCGACATCTTCAACGGTCTCAGATGGGCCAAATACAGATGCAAAGGAAGAATCTCCTGGGAGATTCAGCGGCTTCTCTTCCGAGGCAGACTCGTCTTTCACAGTCGAGGTAGAGGATCCGTGACCATCGCGAAACGACAGTTCATGGGCATCCATAGCGGCACTCAACCACTCATTAGGTATATTTCGAGTCACGTCAACTGTCTTTTGCGAACGTCGTAAAGATTTGAACGATGGAGATTGCAGCAGCGTGGATTACTCGTAAGGTCAACTGAAGTGAAAAAACCGAGGAGGTAGGGTGTACGGCTAATGTGGCGACCGTCGGGGATGATGTGCTGTTTGAGATGAGTACCCGGGAAGGCGGTGGTAACTGATAAGTAGATAAGGAACAGAAGTGTCGAGATTACTTCGAAAAAGCGAGAGCTTGCTTTATAAACAGGAGAGCGTAGTAAGAGGTAGAAGTTTGCAGAGCCGCTGAAATCATTCGTCTGTCCTGACCAGAGTGATTCATCCCAGAGACATTATTGTTATCGAAGTGCCTGAATCACGCAAGAGCAGCTGCAATTCTCGTGCTGCGGCCACCATTTTGCGGGTAAGGACCACGTGATTCGAGACCGATGGCGCCATCGCCGCCTACCGTCGCATCAGATCTCATCAGCGTTCTTCGTCCCGCATTCCATTCTGATGGCGTGAACTGTGATCATGCACCCACAATAATGGATCTTGCAGTGGTCCACTTTGACTAGGTACCTTAGGCGCTTACCTAGCTTGGTGCATTGTCCAATCATTGAGTCCAATGGCATCAAAAATCGCCATATGTAGGACGGATTGCGGATCTTCCAAGTTAGTTCGAAATGCGGCCTCTAGGAGTCTTTTAAGTTTTGACTTCTACTACTGATTCTGGACGGCCTGCGGGTCTAGGCCTCTGGGGTACATAAGACATACCAATATGGAGTACGGAGAACGGAGGAGATAAAGACTCTTCTCAATATCGCTCTTTGCTGCAGTACACACTCCGGTACAGAGTCTTACCTCAGCTACCAAGCAACTTGACCTCGATCAGATCTAACGCCCCTTTTGCAAGATGGGAAATCTCAGGATACACAGCGTCGATTTCGTTTAGCCTATGGTGACTCTACTGAGCGCTGTTTTGAATACGTGCCTCGGTTTTCAGGCAGAGCGGCTCCATACCCTCATCTGGTCCGCTTTGGCAACCACTGCTCGCCAAGGTCAGGAGTAACTTGTAAGGCGCGGTGGGTGCAGTAGCAGTCTCACAATGATGGCTCCAAGCCACGGCTCAGTGGCCGGTTCTCACCCGCTTCATAGTTGCAGCCAGCCTCGGAAAGGCGCAGATTGCGACCCGTTCCAGTCCTGCCCGCGTCAATTCGGAAATGAAGGGCCGAACGGGTCAATTAGAACGCCAACTGAGGTAGGATGTGAAAGTACTATGCGATCTTCAAACCGCTAGCCATTCCATTTGAATAGTTCTTACTTCAATACTCTAACTGATTATCTTACATCTGGTCCATAACCTTGCGCTTCATGCATTAGACTTCTGACCTTCTAAAGCGTTGTCAACTGGATATTAGGATGATCATAAGTAGGAATCATAGGCGTCTTAAGGTAACGTCGGTCAGAGGTCCATAGAGAGAGATATGATGAGGTCATGTGACCATATCACATGATGCCATAATCCAAACCTCCTAGCTATCTTAAGTGACGGAGACGGTGATGTCGACATACATCCTTGGGAAACATCTTGTGTCATCTAAACTACTTTGACTTCTAGTTTATCGATAAATGGTCACCAACCATATGTACTGTCCCTGTATCCACACCGCCTGTTGACCTGTTGATCTAGTTCCTAGGCCTCTCAGACCTAGACCAAACATTCCCTTCTCCGGTCACTCCGTTGGTATCCTGACCATGGCATGTATGCTATGAGCATTGCTTGTTACGATTGACTACAACAGGTAGATATTCTTGCTGGGAAAGGCTGGAGCGGTCCCTGAAGATCGATTTCTGTCGCAATCCCCAGAGATTTTCGCATCAGGTGCAGGCAGCTCTTTTTCTACTCCTAAATCGCTTAAGCGGCGTTTTGGTACATTTACTTCTGGCTCAGTCTGTCTATCTGAATTTCCTTTATTTTTTGATAGAAATTGCTTTTGGAGAGAGAAAGTTATCGCCCTGTCCAACAAGCGAGTCATAGTCAAACTAAAACGCCACTTGAGTCTTGACAGGTAAAGGGGCGGACAGAAGGCGACAGAACATCACCTCGTTTGTCTACATGAGGTGACTGTGAACTAAAATCACGCATTCTCAGGGATTGCTCCCCTGGTCGTACTGATCAGCGCAGAACTGGGCTTGCGGAATAGCGTGGCTGAAGATCAGCCCTTCCGTGCGTTATTATTGAGTGCTTGGTGTCATTGAGAGCATGTCATCCTCCGAATCCTCGTCAGCGTCCGGAGGTGGATGTCCTGATGCAGGGCAGTCGCCGAGCGAGGAGCAGGCGATGCCTCGACTCGACACTCTTATCTCACATCTTGTTGCGGCCAAACGATCCTTATCATCCATTAATCATGTGTGGCGAGCCAATGAAATTGTCACAGCCGCTCGTGCTGCATTAGAAGAATGTGTGGTCGTGTCCGCGAGGACGGGCTTTCTCCGTCGCGGGCTTAACAATCAACTGCGGCTCTTGTATAGTGTTCGGACTGAAGTGGAAGAGATATCCCTTCGTGGACGCTCGGAATTTGCGGCTGTCTTGAAGGACCTTGACGACGCGGATACGCGACTGAGACGCACCTTAGAGCTTCTTCGGGAAACAATTGTCCACCCTGCCTTTCGTCCTGAAGGAGAAGATCCCAAGAGTCTGCATGACTTTGTCGACGAGCGAGGTGTAGAGGAACTTCATGCAGCTTTGAAGAGCTCAATAGATCGCACCACTGCGGCGCAAGCGCAACTGGACTCCTCCAACCATGCCTTTGATGACGAGCTCCTGTCTATCAAGGAGGCTCTGGGAACCTACAGGACCGCTGCGAAATTAGCCTCGTCGCGTTCCTCCTCATCTGCATCTTCCTCATCGGCATCCAATTCCAGCCTGCCCTCCATGTCATCCATGCCATCTATGTTGCATTCGCTGGAAATGCATGCACAGGAAATGGCCAACCTACTGGAATCGTTAGTCCGGCATTTCGATCTCTGCGTAACAGCTGTCAAACACACCGAAGGGGGCGGGGCTGCAGCGAAATCTATCACAGGTGATATGCCCGTTGGCGTACCTGTCAGCGGCCGCATGGGCTCAAACATTGAAGAAGAAATAAACGACAACCTGAATGCACCATTGGACCCACTAAGCAATTCCGAGTACCAAGAAATGGTGAATGTCCTGTTCAAGGATGCAGCTGAAGCGGAAGACGTTGTGATGGAGATCCAGGATCGAATAGGTGAGATGGAATCTGTTCTGGAAAACGTATTGGCTCAACGAGACGCTCTTCGGTCCATCTACAATGCCACAACAGATATTTACCAGCATCTTTCTTCTCTTGGGTCAACACGCTTGCCGGGCTATATCGCTCAGGCACACAATTTCACGCAAGTGTGGCACGAAGAGAATGATCGTATAAGTGGTGGCTTGGCAGATCTTTCTGATTTGAACTCACTTTACGATGGCTTTCTTGATGCTTATGACGGTCTGATTGTCGAGGTAGCCCGTCGAAAGCATGTGCGGCAACGTGTCGAGAAGGTCCTCCGCGATGCCAGGCACAAGCTGGATCAACTTTATGAGGAGGACGTCACTGCCCGCGAGACATTCCGGGTCGAAAAAGGCGACTATCTGCCGTCCGACATATGGCCCGAAATAGGCCGGGAGCCCATGCGGATCGAATTTCGACGGATATCGGGTGCCAACGCCCAGGCTGTCAATCTACAGAGCCCCAATGAACCAGAAGCTATCACAAGTGAACAAGAGGCAGCAAATCGCCTTGCGCCAGTGGAAAGCAGTGATGGAGACGAGATCATTCCTGATCTGCCTAGGGACCTCGTGGAGCAGGCTTTCGCTCGACTCAAGGCTAGGGTCAAAGGCGCAACATGATGCGACTCAGCATTGAGTGATAGAACCGAGAGAGCCGTCTTCACACTTGACAGCATCCCAAATTTCTGTCCCAGCTTCAATATGACCTATGTCTGATCACGAGCATATTGGTTGGTAGGACAGATTTTACCGTGATGTTCATACAACCCTGGCCTTGCCATTGAGTAATAAGGTTGCCTACATGATGAACTCAGAAGAGGTTAAACCTCACCCGAGAATTGGTTCGATCGCTTTACTTGTAAGACGACCCCATTGATGACGCATACTCCATATTCTTTCCGAGAAACTGGACGTAGGCGCGTTGTGGGAGTCTAGTTTAGGAATGAACCAACATGAGGATCAAAGAGAGCTCTGACGGGCCAACCAAACTCTATTTTATGCCTATTTTATCAAATATCACCAAAGAAAGTGAATTCTATTGAGATAAACCAGATTCGCCTATCCGCTCTTTCTATATTGACTTGTGTACTCGAAACCCCATATATGCATGCATCCAACCGTTACTTCATGAAAGTATTCCGTCATAGAATCCATAAACAATAAATTTCCCTGAGAAGCCATGGAGTATAGCCACAAATCTTTCTTTAAATGCAAAGGATGACATGACCCGCTCATTTCTTCTTCCTGGACGAAGTAGAGACGAGCCGCTTTTTGAGATGCTTCGGCATCTTGTTTGCGCGTTGCTGACGCCTTTCCTCCTTGACCTTTTGCTTATGCTCACGTTTAGAGTCCTTATCCTCGAATCGTTTACCACGCGGTTGTTTCTTCGCAAACGGATCGTCTCCGTCGGGCCCTTCCTCCGAGTCAGACGCAGAGTCTGCGACCGAAACACCGCCGCTGGCATCTGACTCTTGATCATCTTCCCCGTCCGGGAGGTTTTTCGGGGCTGATTTGCCACCTGCAAGGAGGTCACGGTAGACAAGGTCCGAGCCTTCACCCGCCCGAACCTTTTCAGCGTCACGCTCAAAGTCGTACACCTGCTCTAATGTCTGAGGGATGAATTGCTGACGGAAAACGGCGGTATCTTGCTCGGTTTCGGCTTGATCCGGCTTCAGTGTGTAGAGCTTTTCAATAGCGTCATGCATCTCCTCGCTCGCTTCAATGGTGGCAGCTCCCTCAGCGGTAACGATGAACTCAAAAACGGTACGTTCAGAGAGCGTCTCCACACCCTTTCGACGGAAGAAGTCGCTCACGTTCTTGATATCCATACGCAAGAACTCCAAGCTGCGCGGGTGATCGTGTTCCACACTCTGGCTGACATCGATAACGTACAGCTTGTTCTTGTTATAAAGTATGTTGTACTCGCTCAAATCAGCGTGCACCAAGTGACATGTTTGGTACATCACACGCATATATCCGAGGAGCTCGATGTACAGCTCACGCCACCTTGCCTCAGGCTCTGCAGTGTCGAACTCGACATCCTTCAGACGAGGAGCTGGCAGACCTTT